AGGCTCGGCTGTGCTCGGCGTTCCTGCCCGGCACCAGGGCTGCGGCAGAGTAGTGCCACCCGCCGCGTCCACGTGCGCTGGAATTCTTGTTGTTTTCCTGTTTCCTCCCTTCTAAGCCCCCTTAAAGACAAACAAAGCAACAAACTCAACGAGCCTAGGATACCGTCCCAAAACCGCGTTAAATGGGCGCTGGCTGCCATTTGGGCATGCAGAAGTGAGACAGAGATAAAATTAAGCTTCTCCTTGCAATTCTTAGTTTATTCTTCCTGTGAAAAACGCACAATGACACTGTCAGTCATATGATCCTGTACTGTTTCAGGGTTTTGGGGTTTTTTTTCCCCTCCCTTTAAAGTTTCTGATTCATTCAGCAAGTGAAGTCATGTAGTAAATGAGGCACAGGCATCTCATAGTAATAATAGCTGCAGATAGTAACTACTCAGTTGGGGTCTGGCCTGAGGTTACCAGGAGCCCTGTTATAAACGTAGTCTGTATTACGCTACAGCATACCTATACGGTGCACTGAAGGATCAGGTGTCAATTGACTCAGACTGGGAGCCCAAAATTAAATGAATTTTTGCAGGGGTGATACCTTGGCCTTTGTATTTCAGTGCTATGCACAGAACAGGGAGCCAGTGGTGGTAGGAGGATCAGTTTCTTGGGTCGTAAAGGAGCGCTAGCCCAGTCTGCTCGGGCATTTCAACACACTGGGAGTTCTGGGTCTTAAAGTAATGTAGCTAGAACACCAATGGAAGCGTAATGTGGCTGTTGGGATTGGAGGGGTGGAAGAGGATGCAGCAAATAAGGAATGCAGTCACTCACAGACGCAGAATAAGGAGCATCAGTTACCTTTTATTTTGAGTCAAGACAGGGTTTTTTGAAAACCCTGTATGTGTTCATATGCACAAAAACGGCAACATAATATATAGGAACAGGGGGTGAACTGAGTACTCTAGGAGTTCTTACATTCTGGCTTTTTTTTTTTTTCTTCTGAAAATAAATAGGTTGTGACCTCAGTACCATTTAAATAAATTGTAACATAGCCCACAGAGCTATTAGTGGACTGTTCCTCACAAGTATTTCCATTTTGGAGAGGCGTGTTTACTATTTATGAAAGACAGTGACTTGTAATAGTGTCCTACCAATATTTATTCTACGGGAAAGCTATTGTTGCTTAACTGGGCCGCGCACAACAGTAAGGTCAGTCAGTGCTCGCGCGTGTCCAGCGTGAAGTCCCTCATAGTGATCAGGTTGTTTAGTCACACGATGTGAACTTCAGCGCTGTTTCTTTATTGCAACATACAAGGCCATCAGAGATCTTGCACAGGGCAGTTCTCCATCCAGAACTACGTCATGAGTGCGGTCCAGTGATGTTGCACTTCTAGTCAAAGTTTGGTGCTGAACTGAGGTCTGTGAACAAAACTTCTACTAGGAGAGGGGAATTCTTGACTTGCTGGCCCAGCCTTTTCCAGAGAAGCCTGGCTGTAACAGGTAATCAGTCACTCAAAAACTGTTTTGAATTCTACAGCTTGAAGTGCAGCAGTGCCGAGCACAGTAACATCATCCGGTGAAGTGTTTTGGGAAGACTGCCCTAGAATACCTAGGGAGTAAGTAGCACAGACCAGCTGCACTTGAACCTTGTGTTTTGAGATGAGCAGACAAGGACTGTAAAAGAGCCCTGCTGGTTGCTGATCCCAGATTTGCGTGGAAAATCAAGCCATGCTTCTACGTTTCCTAGGTAACGGGGGAGCAACAAACACCAGATAGACAGAGATCCCTGTGTGAACCATGAGTGCTCATCTGCAGTGTCATGGATGGTTTTACAAAACTCACCTACTTAAGATGAAATGGAAAACGTTTTTAGTGTGGATTGCAGGGCCAGACCTAGGAAGGTGCATCACATTCCTCCAGCTGTTACCTTCCCTTCATCTCTCTTAATTCCCACCACCACTTCTTCAATAGCAACAAATTTACAGTGAATCTCAGTCATCAAATTTGTTCATTTCCAGGAGCTCCCAACACAGCAGAACTGAGAATTTGTCGTGTGAATAAGAACTGTGGAAGTGTAAAAGGAGGAGATGAAATATTTCTACTGTGTGACAAGGTTCAAAAAGGTAAATCTTGACTAGGTCTTTTTAATTCATTCCAAATGGCTGACACTAACACCTTCTAGCTTGGGAACTTAAACCCTTTACCACACTCCTACGTAAGTGTTCTGGTTTTAGCAAGTCAGAAGAGCTTTCAGATTCAAGGGTTCCCAGCACCTCTAAAAGATACTAAAGGAACTGTTGAGCTTTAAAGTCAAGTCATTTACTTTGCTCCTTCCTTTGTTTCTCTTCCCCCCCCTTCTCTGCTGCAACCTTTTAGTTTTCTTCTTTAGCTTAACAAGCATCTTTTTTTTTTTATTTTTTTTCTAATGGACTAGATGATATAGAAGTCAGATTTGTCTTGGACAACTGGGAGGCCAAAGGTTCTTTCTCGCAAGCTGATGTTCATCGTCAAGTTGCCATTGTGTTCAGAACGCCACCATTTCTCAAAGACATCACTGAACCTGTTACAGTAAAGATGCAGTTGCGAAGACCTTCAGACCAGGAAGTCAGTGAGCCAATGGATTTCAGATATCTACCAGATGAAAAGGGTACAGTTCCAATTAGTTTGATTTCTTAAAATTTATTATCTATGCAGAACTCTTGCTGATAATAAACTGTAACTTAATCATTGGTACAAATTGTACAACACGACTTCTACGGAGTAGGTTTTGTGTTTGCTTTTTTTTTTAATTTTAAACTGTCAGTCAGTCTAGTCCCTCTTTCAGTGAAGATACTAAGACTAATGGTTAGTAACATTCTCTTGGTTTGATAGAGTGTAGTCCTACGTTTGAAAGATAATTTTAAAAGTATATTTTATTACAATTAGAGGCCACTGGTCTAAGTTTTAGAAAGTTCCTTTACAAATTATATTGAGGAGAATCTTAATTAACACAGTTTTTCCTTCCACTCCTTTCTCTGCAGATCCGTATGGTAACAAAGCGAAAAGGCAAAGATCAACATTGGCTTGGCAAAAGCTCATACAGGACCGTGGTAAGGAAAATGTTTGACTTTTTCTTGTTTCAGTGAACTTACAACTAGATAGGATTATTTTATTTAAAAACAAAAATTCAGAGTAAATTCATGATTTCTTCCGTTACAGGATCAAATGCATCAGAGAGGCCCAAAGTAGCTCCATTCCCATCTGTCACCCCTGAAGGGAAACTGATTAAGAAAGGTAGGTTTTTGCTTGCATATGCCAATCTGACAGTGGTTCGAAACAGCGTCTAATTGGATGGGGAGGGGCAGGAGCTTTTTCAGGGATCACTGAAGTTTTCAAGGCAGCAGCAGTGCCTTGTCTCTTGCTTTTCTTCCTCCTCCTCCTTCTCACAGCCTCAGCAGTGCTGCAAGTTTCCCTTTCCATAGGAGAAGGCTACAGTCTCCTTGTCTTTACATATTGCTAGCTGGCAGCCTGGAAGAAGTGGCAGCAGGATGGGGCAGGAGGGCCACCCCAGATAATAAGCAAGCATTTATCGGCTTTTTCTGACACGGAGCAGAAAGGGTGCCTGGGAAGGCCAAAGACAATTCAGAGCTGAGGTTATTTGCACAAACCCTAAAGCAAAACATCTTGTTAGAAGTGTTGGAGTTGATGGAATTAGGTTTCTAAGCAAGTTAGTTAGACTCTTGGGTATCCGTGTTCAGATACCTTGTCCTTTAAATGTAGCACTCAGTTCCTGGCTTTCCCTCCTCTTTGCTTGAGGTTCTAAAATCCTCTCCAGGCTTTCTTCCCTTAAGATACTAGTACTTTTGACTATGCAAACTAAACCTGTCAGTTCTTTTATACATAGGCTGCTATCTTCAGTAGTTGCCTTTAAGAGGGATGAGGTAGATCGCTGTCTTGCTGCTGTCCAGAACTCTAGGGCCTACCCTGGAGAACATTTAAGCAAGTAGTTAAGTGCAATTCGCAAATAATCTTGTTAGGATAGCACCATTCTTGTTTTGCTGGGTCAAAAAATGCTTGAAGCCTTGAGCCTTTTCATCAGCTGTGCTTTCTACCGTTTGTAAAGCGGTACATAAAAAAATAAGTAATAAGTAAAAAAATAAGTAATAGCATAAAAATGTGGTAACGTCTTTCCTTTTCATAGAACCAAACGTGTTTCCATCTGCACTGATGATGCCAGGGCTAGGAACTCTGGCCAGCGCTAGTCAAATTTACTCTGCCTGCAATCAGATACCACATCAGCCTGCGCAGGTGGGGCTAGGGAAGCAAGACACGCTCTCCCCGTGCTGGCAGCCCCTGTACACCCCCTCTTCAGCAGGCAACCTGGTCAATGCACACCCACAGAACAGCTTTGCAGCAGAGGTGCCTCACGCCAGTGCTCAGGGCAGCAGCTCTCTCCCGGCTTTCCATGAAAACCCTCTGAACTGGGCTGATGAGAAGGATCCAAGCTTCTACAGGAGTTTCGGCAACACAAACGGCATGGGAGCAGTGGCGGTGTCACCTGCAGACATGCAAAATGTTTCTAGTAGCAGCCTTGTGCACCAGGCTCACCCTGCCAGCGTCACCACAGCGAGCATCATTAACATGGAGACCGATGACATCAACTGCACCAGTATAAACTTTGAAAAGTATAATCAAGTGCTACATGCAAGCAATCACAGGCAGCAGCTCCATCAGGTGCCACCAGCCTGTACACCTGTTGCAGCCCCTGGCAGCACACCTTTTAATTCACAGTCTAATTTAGCTGATCCAGCAGCTTACAGTTTTATAGACCAAGAAGTTTTGAGTGAATCAAGACTATCCACCAACCCTATCCAGAATCATCAAAATAGCATTGCAGATAACCAGTACTATGACACAGATGGTGTCCATGGGGATGAGCTCTATCCGTCTTTCCAATTTGATAGCATCTTACAAAACTATAACCACTGAGCCAGCAATGTCAGGCTGGAAGTGGGTATCTAGAGCTTTTCAAATGGCTAGTAACTTATCCTTCTGGATTGCCTGCTTTCTCTCTCAGAATGTTACTATGTAAGTTTCATGATATAACTTAAGGTTATATATTGTAGCCATAAGACTGGTGCCCATTAAGAAGAGAGGTGGGAGTAGGGTTTGGAGTTTTGTATCTTAAAAGTACCTCATACACATTTTGACACTGTTGGAAAAGGGAATTTTTAACACACAGAAGCTTCCTTACTTTTGGGGAGCTCAGTGGTTAAAAGCAGGTATCTTCAGAAGGGCCAAGTTTCAAATAATTCACAGGGTTAAAACTGGTTGGAAAGAAACTGTTTTTGCTATGAAAATCAACTATAAAATTTGATACAACAGAAATTAGGAAAAAAAAAATACACATGGGGCTCTTACTTATTGCTTTAACAATGTTAAAGTTTTACTCAACTTGAAAAGTTCAGGTTTCTTAACCTCTTTTATATGAAATATCCTTCTGCTAAAACAAGATTATGCATTGATTTTTCACATCTTCATCATATTCCGTTTGCTTTGAAGGCAAATTTGCTCTCAGAAATTTTTAATGACTATGTCATTGTTAGATGTATTTTAAAAGACCGGAAGGTTTGTTTGAGTTTTTTAAATAGTCCAGCTCTGTTGTAGATGAATCACTGCACAAAAGAATAAACAGAAAATAAGGACTTTTCTGCACTTCATCCAAAGTGCACTATGTTAAATGACAAAACCCTGTTGCTTTAGGAATGGAGCACACTGTTATTTCTCTGGAAGTTTTTTTTGTGTGTGTGTGTGTGGCTGTGATATGTATTTTATTTTGAATAGTAGAAATATATTGGACCAAGGCATCTACCTATTTTTTCCTCAAGTATCCTGGCAGTTTCCTGCTATGCAGGTGACTGCTTAAGAGAGGGTCAGATCCTGCCCCCCTGCACAACTCCCTCAGAAGAAAGCTTCAGGACAAACCCACAAGCACAGTCTCAGTGCAGCCTAATCCAGACACACCTTATTAACAATTTAAGGCCATTTCGGTCCTAATTTCAGGACGTTTCAGTCAGTACTAATTAAAAACACCCCTGTACGCTCAGAAATTAGAACCTCCTTCCCTTTGCTTCTCAATCTTCGTTCTTAGTCCGAGACAGGAGAAGTTTAATAACAAGCCATAAGGATGTTACTAGCTAGGTAAGACACTTTATTCAGCATATAGGGCTTTACTGTTTTAATATTATTGTAACTATTTGTAAGAAGCAACGGATCAACAAATACGTGAGTACATTTCCTAAGTTACACAGCTGTTTCCTATGGCAGATAAGGCTTAAGAATCTAATTGTTACTGTTTGGCAACATAAAACTGCACCGTGAAAGAAAGCAATAACCATTTCCCTTGCATCCTTGGATACAGAAAAAAACAAAAAAGCCCACAATCCCAAATCAAAAGAGCCAGCTGAGATGCACAGTGGTATACAAGGCAGAAAAGAGCTCCAAGAAACCTTAGTGGTTTATGGGAGAGCAGTGACTCCTTACTGCAGTAACTCACTGGATTCAAAGCAATAATACACTGCAGCAGTAACGCATTATACCAATTACACAGGTTTGAGAGACTACGCTCCTTCGATGATGTGTATAAATGATGCTTGGAAAAGTGCTCCCCATAACTCCAGATTCACAGCAGAATGAACTGCCTTTATATTTTAAAGCAGTTTTTCCTCACAAACACATACCTTTTCAGGAGCTCCTCATCAGTCTTAAGCAATACAAAGACCAAAGAAATACACAGAACAGCAGAAAGTTTAAAACGTTTTGTTTATTCAGTTCTTTTTTTTTTTTTAAAAGTTCTCAATTTTATTAAATGTAAACATTTTACTCATTTTATAGAAAGCTCTTTATAGTACAATTTGTTTTTGTTGTATAATTAAATATTTTCAGTGTTCTGTTCTGTTTTCCTTTGTAAACAAGTTGGTTTGGTAATTAAAAAATTGGTCATCGTAAGTACTGAGCTTCTGTAACCTCCTCAAATTTAAAATGACTTCCCACACCTTAGAAAAGCCACAGGAATCAGAGAAGCTGGTTTTGGTTTGTTTATCCTGGGGCTTTCTAGGATGTTTTATTCTGCCCACAATTATTGTTGGTCACTACACAACCTAGAACTCTGTGTACAAAAGGATTCATTTGTCTTCACTCATGACTTTTTCTGATGTGGCAGGATAATTGACTTACCATGGTAAGTCAGATGAGCACAGAGTGCCAAGGCATTCATGCTCATCTAGAGATGCGCTACTGGTGCAGCTCACATTCACCTTCCTTGGCAAACCGCTTTCTCCTAAATCTCCAAGTTTAGCTAAACTGATGCAAAAAATGCAGGGAGGGGGGGAGGATTTTTTTAAGTGACCGATTGTTTGGAGAAATCCTTTTCCTGAGTGCGTGGAGCATGAAGACGAGTGATACTAAGAACCACTGCTTGGACCTTATTTTTCAGCATTTTCCACGTGATGTGCTAGAAGAGGTCTACCTCTTTCATATATTGTCCTCAAGAACAAGATTAAACCTTGCTCTCGTCAGGCTCACAAAATAGCCTATTTAAGTCACTGTGTATTTACAAGTAGGTATTTTACTTTAAAAACAAGGTGAGGGCCAAAGTACAACATCAGTACTGCTGTTACAGTATTCATTACAGCTTATGACAGGTCAAAGTATTTATCTTCCTTTATTAAAACTGCAGACTTTAAATAAAGTTGAAAATAGCTTGCCTCTCTAATTTTCATATTTTTCACATGATTACTGAACAGTAAATGAACAGCTAAACAAACAGCTGCATGGCAGGCATTTGCACCATCAGCTTTTTCTTTTCTTTATTTTTCTCTTATTTTTTCTTTTCTTTCTTTTCCCCCTCTCTTCTCATTTGATGCTTCAAATTTATCACAGAAAGTATGTGATTTGGGCATTTTTTTTGATGGAGTGTGCCACGTGGCATGAAGACAACATTAGACTCTGCACCCTTAGCCTAATCTTTATAGCCTCATTTAGCTGCATGCTGATTCTTAATTTGGTCTTCACTGTGACCATGCCAGCATACAGCATATTAAAGAAAGAGCTGAAGATAAGAGCTCCTAGAGTGCCTTTGCATTATGATAGAAGGAGTAGCCCATTCTGCTTCCGACTTGTGAGCACTCTTTCACTTCGAGGATAGCACGTCTAATGTTTGTCAGGTCCATGTTGCAGTCAGTCTTGCTTACTTTTTTTTTTTTCCCCCCCCCGTAGTTTATGGAATTTATAAATCATATTTTAGCTCACTCTGTGTTTCTTTCAAGAAATCCCATAGATATGAGACTGAAATTCTCTTTTGTTTGTTTTCTGTAGTCAGTTTCTTGTTTTCTATCATTCACAACGCTTCCTTTCTAGGTGATTGCAGCTACTTATACAGATTATTATCTGAGGCAGCTACTGCTGGAATCTCTTGCTCATAACAGCTTTCAGATTAAAAACAAAAAAAATGTTGCTGTCTGATGTTCCTATTATTTTTGTGTCAGAAAAACAGGAGCTTCTGAACTGCTGCCATACTTACTTATGTCACAATGGACTAGGCAAACAATGAACGGCAAGTTTTGCGAGCCCAGCATATGTAGTGTGTGTAATATTTAAACTAATTTTTCGAGATCAGTTTTTAGGAGCACCTTTAAAAAGCTACGTATCAATGCCTTTAGCTAAAGGTGGGCAGCTGTTCTATTCTGCACCCCCCCCCCCGCCACCCCCCCACTGAATTGCAAGTAATGCAGCTCAGTGATCCTTCCTGTCCCCAGACAGTGGTTTGTTTTGGAAACTATTGCCTTTATTGTTTCTGAACTGTTTGTTAAGAGCACTTAAATTCCAAACCATAGTTTCTTGTGGACAGTGTAACGCTCTTCGGTATGTCAAGTGACCCGAAGCATCTGCCTAATGCGTTTGCACAGTAGCCATTAACAATGGGTTGTATTTTGTTACCTTATATTTCTTCTTGTTTTTAATCACGTAAAATAGATATGTTTTAATTCCTTGTGTGCCTTTGCAACAGGATACAGGCATAAAAGTGGCTTTTCCTGAAGATGTAAGTAAGTGGAGGGCCTGGCCAAAAAGCAGGCCAGGGGGCCAATCTCATAGCCCAGCTCCTGCTAGATTAATGAGTTAGAGTCATGCTCCTCCGTGTGATAGCTATGCAGGTAAACGTGCCCTGAGCAGGAAGAGGATGGTCCCCTTTCCCCTCATCAGCTAATATTTAGGGCACTCAGCTCAATTCTTTCCTTCCTGAGGCGACTGGAGCTTCCCCCCGCCGTTGCAGCGCTCCGGAGCCAGCCTGTAACCAGCACGATCTTAAGGGCTCTGAGATGGGGCTTTTGGACTCTCCCGTGGAGACTGCCCTGCTTTGTATAAAACATTTAAAATATTCACAGGAGCAAGGAAAGAAACTCAGGTCTTCCCTATTGCAGGCAAGTTTGCTAGGCAAAGTTTAACTAGTCCAGGCATCCATCTAAACCCTAGGTACTAGAAAATATTTTTTAATGCTACAACCATGCTACAAACTAAAGCTTTTTGCCTCTGTCTTCATCTCTCAATACCAGCATTTTACATTACATTTTTATATCTACTTGCACTTTTGGGTTCTCTGTATCCCTCTTCTCTGGATTTCCATCATGTACCATTTCCAGGAATACCCAATCTTTTTACATGTGGTGACTCAACAGTGGGGAAATCCTATGCGTGAAGAGGACTGTAATCAAGCCAGACAGCCATTAGACTACAGACCTGAAGTACCTCCACTGTAGTTCCTCGGAAGCATCACTGATTTTTAAACGAGAAGAAAACTGTTTTCAGTGCAAAGTTTTCATCTGAAAACTGTTTTTCCCTCTGAAGATTACTTTCTCTGAGAGACAGTTCTGCACATCTCTAAAACAGACATTGACCAAAAAGCAGTCAGCACACAGCAGAGTGTCACCTCATTTGAGGAGCTATCCCACTGTTTTCAGAGTCTCCCTGACTTCTGGGCGTCTGATCTCCAATAGTCATGCATGAACAGTGCTCAGAAAAAGTTAGGACTGGGCTTCAGACAATTCTGTGGCACCTTTACCCAGACAAGAAAGCTACAGCATCCAATAAAAAAAATAGTTAAAAACAAATCTGGTCTGAGGGAGGGTTACTTTAAATTTAAACATTTTCATGCAGTATTGCAGAAAGCATATTTGATGTGCCTTGCTCAGTAACTTGTTTGCATGTTACACCATTTATGTTTCTCTTAAGTAATTGTTTTTAAAAGATTTACTATCAGTACACTAGCTTACCAATTTTTTTTTATGAAAGCTAGAAACTAAAATAAGGCTAGAGATTAAATGAACAAACACTACCTGTTCCACAGTGCTGAAAGTCAATTCAAAGTAACAGCATCTTTTAGCAGATCAACATGATCCAAATGTTCAACAAAAAGACTTTGCAGTGAAGAACCAAGCTGTAATGCTGTACAAAGCTCAATCAGTAACCAGCTGCTGACAGAGGAGCGGCTTTTCCTCATCCCAACTTGAAAAGCTAATTATCCAGGGCTGGAGGCCAGTCAACATCAACAGACTAGAAGAGGGGGGGAAAAAAAAGGCAAAAATCAGCAGACTTGGTATTTTAGGTATATAAAGAGACTTGTCAGGACTCCATGCCTGTCAGCTATAGGTTAACAGTGGAAAGCAGAGCAAATAAAGGACACTGATGAGAGATATACCACAAGACAAGGACACAGTGGCATGAAACAGCCACCTCTTCTAGTGGCTCCATACGTGTCTGCAGAGAGCGCTCTGGGAGCTGAGTGTTCTTCCTAAAGCAGAATCAAAACTACTTGTACCAGAGTCAACTGATACTGGGCTGCATTTGCAAAGTGCCCAAAACCATTATTTAGAAACGTAACGCGCCTGCATCCTCTACCAGTAAATCCTGCAGATGGGCTGTGATGAGGTGAACAAACAACTTGCTGACTGATCCAGCAGAAATATCCAGATAGTGGGCAGTGTGGGCAAGGCTCGAGTAGAATGCCATCGCCTGTCCCCAGATCTGCCTCCTGAGCAAGTATTACTCTATTAAAAGAATAAGCTGGCAAGCATTATGCACAAGAATTATGTAGGCAAGATAATTAAACAGTCATCCTGACTGCGGGCCAAAACCCACAGAATGTGCTCCACACTTTATCAGAAGCAAATGTAGTAATTACTAGAACTTGGGCTATGTATCTTCCTCTCCTAGCCTCACTGCTGCCACATCTCCAGTTCTCTTTAGGCAAACTTGGGCTCACCCTCTTCCAAAAGCAGCACACCCTACACTAGTGAAGTATCATCATTTGTCAAAGCAGGGATCTCAACGCTGGCTTCAAGACTGCCTAAATTAATCATACCTACTCCTCGCTTAGTCTACAACTTCATCAAAGCATTAGGCTCTTAGGCTAAGCTAAAACGCATTGTTAGCAAGACTGCTAATTATTTTCAAGTCCCTAGATAACTTTCATAGTTATGTCCAATAACTGCAGTGACACCTATCCATGTGAGAGCGATGCTTATCAGCTGCAGCCCAGAGTCAGCTGCTCAAATTTTCAGACCTAATGCAAGTTCCCTCCACAACTGCAAGTCTAACTGCCACAGAAAATGTAACACACAGGGAGTTTTACAGAAATACATGACAACAAGCATGCTGACACTGTCTACTTCACAAGGAAAAATCATGTTGTAAATAAACTTTGCTCAACCACTACGTTAAGTAATAAATCCAAATCAGTACGTACATCATTTTAAACATTTTGTAGTTACAAGTTAGCATCCACCCCATCTGATTCCAGCAAGAGAACAGATACATTTTCTTGCTGTGTTTGAACTGGTGCTGAAAGAGGAAGTCAAATATCTTTCTCCTGTTTTTTGACCAATGCTTTTTTAAAATTCCGACATAAAGAAATGATATATATGTATGTATGTATGTATGTATGTATGTATGTATATATGTATCTAATATGTAACATGAAAAGAAAAAAACTACCTATGGCTAAGCTGCTATGCCAATGAGTGCTAACAATGAGAAGCGTCATCTTCAAAAATGTTTAACTTCCTAGCTCATCTTTTACCTCCAGATGCAGAATATTTTTGTATTAAGTGCCCCAAAACTCATGGTATGTCCTCCCATCCCTCCCCAGACACAAGTTCAGCAGAAGCAGCCTGTTACATCATGAAAGCGTGTGAGCATGATACAAACCATTATCTTTGCATTAACATCAACCTTTGTATCAGCTGTGGTAAGGAGTGGATAGTCAGGATGGTTGATTCGGATAAACACTTCTACTGAAAGCATCTCACAAATACAACTACACTCCTAATTTCCAGGAAAGATAAATAACAAGCAACTTACTTCTACATCCAACTCCAGAATGTCGGCAGTTCTGTTCAGTAATGAGCCAATATTTGGCTTTGTTCTTCCAAAATCTCCATGCACAAATTCTTTAATGTAGCTAGAAATACTGGTTAAGGAAAGGTGCATTCTACTGCAAAGCACTCAGGGGCGGGCAGGGGGAGGGGGAGCAGGAGGGGGAGACAATAGTTAAAAAAAGACTTCATAAAACTTCCTAATTCTTGGCTTCTGACTGTATAATTTCTGTCCACCCCAAAGCGGATGGTGATTTTATGACAAAACTGTTAACTTGCAAGTAGCTACAATCTACAGCATTCATTGCAGTGTGTTGAATAAGGTGGAAAAGTTTGTTTTCTAAGGCAAAAAAAGTTGTAAATTAAAAAAAGCTTAAATGTATCTTTAACTAGGACATTTTTGTAGCTATCACACACTTAAAAACTATCGCATTGGTCATCAAAAAATAACACAGGCTGGTAACATTTTAAAACGAAAGCCTGAATATGAAATGTTGACATAAAAACAAACATTATACAGCAACATATGAACCGCGAAAGAGCAGGGATTTAGAAAAACTGCAGTGACAAAAGCAGAAAACCTCTCATTGCCTGAATTATTCTAGTCAACAAACTATTTTGTATATGTATTGTGTAACAGGGCCTAAGGATACGTTCCTGCTTGAGTTTTCAGATACAGGCGAAAATGATGCTCGTCTATGTACTCAGATTTCATGGTGTGAATGATCCGACGCCTTACAGCTAGAGGCCTTCTGTGAAGAACCCGGAGAGGTGTTTTCTGGTCAAGTTTTAATTCCTATTAGGAGAGGCCATAAAACAAATGAAGAAGGAACTGTGCAACATCCCACACAGATTGGGAAAAAGATCCATACATACCGTTAATCAGTTACATCTTTTTAATACTGTATTATGGTGGTTCAAATCTTCCCAAGGCAAGACATTTTCTTCATGTTTATCAAAGGAAAAAAGGACAACCATCTCAGAGGGTAAATGAGAAGGCCTCATATGAACACAAACTAATAGAATCACAAATACGGAGGAATAACCTTGAAATCTCCATAGTCTTTTGCTGGAATAACTCCAGGATTTAAAAGCTCAGTGAGAGCCTCAGGGCAATTAAAAAAAAAAACACCCACAAAATGCTTTGTCTAAACTACAACCAACCCTCTAGAATTAAGTGAGAGGAAAGAACTGAAACGAGGTTTTTGATTACGATTAAAAGCTCATTCTCCACCCCATCCCCTTCCCCAAATAAAACATATTAGTTTGAAAGGCATCCTTTCAGGCCGGGGGTAAGCATGCTAAAAAAACTGCTTCGCATCTGTTGTCTTCCTGAATTGTAATGGTTCAAGTCCTTCGCTTCCTTACTTGAGAATTATTTCATGGCTAAGAAGCATAGCACAACACGACAAAAACTGAACATATCCCTCTGTCAGTGGAGTCTCTCTCTGACCAGCATTTGGAGAAGTTCTCATTAACAAAACATACTTCCTAAACCAAGCACTTGGTGAGGCCTCCTCTTTGTGTTATTTTCTGTAAACATTACAAACTCCTAATTGCTGCTGCTGCTGCTGCTGCTGCTGCTGCTGTGGAAGAGCAGCTTTAGAGTTAGGAGAACAAGTGACCATCTCCACTCCTTTCACTTAAGCAAAACAGAAAATCTAAGCCAAAGAAAGGGGTGCAGGCGTCAGATTTCCCCCTTGCCCGTTCAATGCTTTTGATTTGGTATAACATCTACCTTCCAGTAGACAATAATTTGTTGTCTTGGCTAACAGACAGCTAGCTACATTGCTCGCATGGCAATAGTGAAGTAAGGAAGCGTGAGAAAGAGAAAGGGAAGGGAGGTATGAAAGTCCCTAGGGCAAAAGTAACCTCTGATTAAAAAGTCAAAGAGAAATAGATATATCTGTGGGTGCACAGATATAAATTCTCCCCTAAGATATCAGGACAGGTGCTCTGTAAATTAGCAAAAATAGCTACAGATACCTTGAGATCGTCTAGAAATGCAATGTCTTCTTTCTGTATTGCTTTGTCGGTCCATATTAAGGCGCTATAGGTCTTTGTCTTTTCCTCTTCACCTTCCTTCATATGTCCAATTGCCTCTCTAAGCAAAAGAAATTAATTACTCACATAACATAAGCATAATTATATAATGCTGTGAGCAAGAATGCTTGCAGAACTCCCAAAGCATCACTTTGAAATCCCTTGCCAAAGATGGTAAATACTGACCTGGTGACAAGCTGTAAATCTCGAACCTGTATTTTGTCTGAAGAGTTATTAATTGTCTGTGATATTTAAAAAAGAATCGGTTAGCAAAGCTGCTCAGTTACAGAAGAAACATGTGCTTTTCGAGTTCCATAAGGTGCAAATGATTTACCTGCTGAAGTCCCTTCATTTGCTCAGCAGTAAAATGTATTCTACGAGGATTCACAAGCTCAATTGCAAAGGGCCTTCCTGGCAACACGCACAGTCATAAAACATAAAAACATGTTGTTCTAAATTAACGTTTGAATTTATGCAGTAAGGTTAGGAGGTGTGAAGATTGTTTGCTGTTATGCAAACAGGGATAGGGGCTTGCGGGTTTAGGGACGTAGCATCAGATGGAAGGAAAGAAACAAGGGACTTTTTTTGGCTACTAAACACCAGCATCAGCAATACGTGCAAATTACAACTTCCCAGAAGACATCTTGTACAAGTCTGTGCTAATTAAAAAATAAAATAAGAAGAAAAAGTTAATTAGCTTATTTTCTGTCACCTACAGCAATGCCCAGGTGCAAGACGATGTTAAATCCCGCTCCCTCTGCTAAACATCTGTTGCAATGGCTGCACTTTCTGTGCTCAGGGCCAGGGATGATCCCAGTATAAGCAATGCCAAGAACCATGCTACAAATCAGGCAGCAACTGGAACACCTCACTGTTAATTTTTTCTTTTTCTTCCCCTTCCCCCTTTGGCTATAGTAGCTTCAGTGAATTGGAAAGCAACTGACCTTTAGAAAGGAGCCATGTTCAAAAGAAAATAAGGCTTCCTCGGTCAACAGCGACAGTGAGGCAAAGTAGAAGGACTCAGCAGAAACCAGCACAGAAATCATTGTGACGTAATCAGGAAACAAATAAAACATTCCCAACAGGCTACGCGTTTCTATGCATCTGTGCAGCCAACGACACTCAACAAAGGTCTCCTCTTTCCCAGTTCTTTCTATGAAACTACTGAGTCTTTAGGAATAAACACATACATGTAACTAAAATGCTTCTGAGATAAAGTTTCAGAGCACTGTCTATTCACACGCTTACATACTTAGCATTCAACAAGATCTACTGGAGTACCTTCAGTTAACCATTTTGTTTGTTTTTGTATTCACCAAGAGAAGTTCCAGCCTTACCGTTGCCTAGTGTTCTTACATCCACGTCTTCTCTTCCAGAGGAAGAAAAATTAAAGCCTATAACAGGTTTTAAAAAGGAAGGTGAGATTCTATTTCACATTTTTAAAACTCTCCACAGCTTTAAAAGGTGAAATATTTTCTTTCTACACTTGTTTGTAAAGATACTTCCAAGAGTTATCCTTATAAAATGCAGCCTGCACCATTTTTAAACAAATCAGAGGATAACTACTGGTTATTCCTTCACGTTCACAAGTTTCTTGAGGAGCACTTCTGGCTCTTTGGCCTGAATGAGACCACTACAGCCCTGAAAATGTGTGACAAAGCAGTAGAATCCTAGAAGAATTCTCCTTACTGTTTAATGTTGTTCATTTCTTATCTAGATGCTTCAAGTCTATGAATAAAATCAAACTGAGCTGTTTTCCTTCAAAATGCAACCATTTATCCTAAATGCACCCAATGGTTTCCAAAGATACCTCAGAAATTTCTGCTAGTCATATATACCTGGACAGAAGAGGAAGAGAAATTCAAGTACAAACTGGCAGGTAACCTCTGTGTGTTTGGGTTTTTGGTCTTTCAAGATATAAAAGCACATTTTGGGCTACTTAGTTTCCTTCCTCATATCCCTTCCAACTTTAAGCTTTCCCTGAGGAAAGAGTGGGAGACAAAATCCTGCACTGGAGAGTAAATTTGCACATCTAACCTAAAGAGTGTCTGAAAGCTGGAGAGTTTCAAAAACTTCTTCCTCGACAGTGAAAACACAGGGTGCATAAAGATTTCCTCAGCTTTTGTTACCCCTCATTTCTCTGATCATATTATGGCAACTACATAACCATGGTAAAACTTTCCCATGGTCATGAAGGGTCATTTCTGTTACACTATCAGATTTTTTTTTAGTTGGGACTTCAAAAATTTGCAACTAGGACATTTCAAAGAATCGTAGAATAGTTGGGGCAGGGACCTCTGGAGAATGTCTAGTCCAACCCCCCTACTCAAGCATGGTCAAGTAGGGCAGGTTGCCCAGGACTGTGCCCATTCAGGTTTTCAATATCTCCAAGGACAGAGACTCCACAGCCTCTCTGGGCCACCTGTTCCAGTGTTTGATCACCCTCACAGTAAAAAGGTTTTTTCTTATGTTTGAATGGAATTTCCTGTATTTCAGTTTGCGTCCACTGCATTGTCCTGTCACTGGGCACCACTGAAAAGACTCTGGCTCTGTCTTCCTGACACTCTCCCATCAGGTACTTAAAAACACTGATAAGATCCCCCCTTAGTCTTCTCTTCTCCAGCTTAAGAGTCCCAGCCCCCAACCTCTCCTCATATGTTAGATGATCCAGTTCCTTAATCATCTTCATGGCCCTTTGCTGGACTCGCTCCAGCATGTCTGTGTCTCTCTTGTCCTGAGGAGCCCAGACCTAGGCACACCACTCCAGATGGGTCTTGTCAGTGCAGGCAAGAGGGGAAGGATCACCTTTCCTCGACCTGCTGGCAATGCTTTTCCTATTTGTTTATATCTTTTCTCAACACTACTGCACATGCACTTCTGGTAGTTACCTGTGGTAAATCAGGTATTGCACAGTACTTGGCCTTAAAGACGTGTTTTTCCTAGCATTCTAACATATGCACGGGAGGGGAGGGAAAAATGGTACAACGACAGTAGCTGTTTTTTCTAAACTGGTATTTAATACAATTTTTCCCTGGACCTTCTAGGTCACTAATTCCAAGTCTAGTACATGACCAATGATGGGCAATGATTATTTCATCTGAATAACCCCTAGATAAGCATTTAGCTTGTGCAACTCTATGCACTGCAAAAAATAAGTTCATCAAGACGAAAACATGAAGGGGTTAGAGGCTAGGCAGATATTATGGAATGCTGAAGGCAAAAACTTTCTGACTAGGAGCCACTGCATGAATTATCAGCTGTTAAGAAGCATGGCTAGGTTAGAATACTACCACATAAAACCATAATACTTGTGCCATCAGGATCAACTGAGAAGTTATTTTAGAAGGATAAAAGATATTACATAAAACAAAGCAGGCATCTAATTACTCACAGATCACAGCATACAAAAGTTGACAAGTTTTCGTTTGGAAGGATAAAAGAGGGATTAAGAATCTAGTTTTTCCACTGCGCTCTTATATTAAGTGAGTAGCTGCTAAGAAAAAATATCCTAGTAACAATGAAACACATATATCTTAAGAGATCTCCTAGATACTTACTATCTGCTTTGAATTCTGCCATTAGATGCTCTGAAATCAGTTCTTCTACTGAAGATTCCAGCTTCCGCTCCCCATCAATAATCCAGGGAGTTTGCGGTAAATTCCTTGAATATTTATTGTATCTTCCTGTCAGAAAAACAAGTATGTTACCAGTAACTGCTCTATAGCAATGGACAAAAGCTCTAGTATTCCAAAGCACAAAACATTTAACTTTCATAGGAGCATTGTGAAAATAAATTTACAGAGTTAAACTTGTATTACAGCAAGAGCACTATGGCAACAGTATGAAATGAGTGCTGCCACACCTAAAAGAGTTTCGGTATCTGAGCTGGCCAGTGTAAAGGTAGACGAAGAGAGACTACTGCTGCAGTTAACACGCTCAAGTACTCTCGTCGAACAAAACTGTATAAAGCCTGACACAACTGGGAATGAAAAGCCAGAGGTTCAAGGGCCCAGTCTGAGTCAATTTTATGCTGAATGCAAAATTGTTTTTTGAATCAAAGTATGGTCTTGAGCCAGCCTCCCACATACCAAGCTATTGCTATACACATGCCTGTCCATCAACGCATGTTAGGTCCCGAGTAAAGAAGTTGCCACCTCCCTGTATCAAGTAGTCCAGGTTTCGATCCAGGTTCTTCCATTTTCTGAATGTTTAACCAAAAAAAAAAGCCCAAACTAAAATGCTTTGGCTTGTTACTTGGAAAATCACACAAGCAAAATATCTTAACAATATACCAGCACAAATTTCCAGAAGCTTGAAAAGTTGCCATGTAAAGGGATGGCCATCCTCTGATTGATTCCCATATTATCTCACATTAACATGCCACCTCCCATGAAATACAAGGACTGCTGCAATCAAAGAACAAGTTGGATATGGATGACCAAGACAAGCTTTCTTATCTGCAGGTTTTGTAAGAAATGAGAACATGCACAAAAGAACCAACTCATTCATAAATAATAGTGAGTAACCTCCTGCACTAACAAGTTTCAGTTTGAAACCTAGTGTATTTAAAATAAAAAGGGAGTTCAAAGTATCTATGCATATTACACCTATGCCTCTGTCCTCTCAATTTTTTTGGTTTTCAGTATCATATTTTCCTATTTCTAACAATGTTTCCTTCTTGCCTTTTGATCTGAAAAAAAAAAAAAACCCATGCAAACAAATGGGGAAACTGACTAATACTGTTTCACTGAGGCGAATAATGAAATTACTATGAATAATCATTCATAAGGCAGATTCACTCTGCTGAATTCTCTTTCCATAAAATGGAAAAAGGGAAATAATATTTTTTCTCTCAGAGACCCAATCTAATAGTTTTAGCTTTTCATCTGAACAACAGTGGGTTAAAAAAACCCAGAGGTATGCTTCTCAGTTCCACAGTTTCTCCTGAGTCAAAAAAAGGAGCTGGGGGAAGGGATCAGTAAACACCCAAGATAAGGTCAAGAGGGCAATTCCAGCTCTGAAACTGCTTGCAAATTAAGATCCTCATCTCATTTAAAGTGCTGCAGTAGCAAAATAACTGCATTGTATTAAACAAAGTCCTCTATTCTGGATTTAATTCTTCATAAAGTAAAGAAAACATCCTGCCTGGTTTTCTTTGGTTGAAACAAGGGAAAAAAAAAAAAGGAATAACCATCACAAGCTGTAAACTGTAAATCACAAAACTTAAATTCAATCACATGAGGAAGGTAAGCCTCTATATAGGTGAATCCTGCTAAAACCATCCAACATCCAATGAACCAACCTAATATAAAGCAACATGTTTAGAAAAGACACTTTGGCTATTTTGGATCCATGAAAACATACCTTTAACTGTCTATTCAGCAATCAAAAATAAGAAACAGACATGTAATGAACACCAAACTAGCCTGCCATGAGAATATTCACTTTTGCATTATTTCTTCATTCTATGTTTTCTTTTATTCAGGATATTTTAAACATCCTTTTATACATACTGTATTGGATTGAAATTGTAGGCTTTGTAAAAAATAATGTATTGTTTGCATAAATTTAAATAATTGGTTGCTTATACATAGGCCGGGGGGAAGGTAGATGCTCTTGTAGGCAGGTGATGGAAAAGTCTGTAGAATCATCGGTGTAACATTCAGCTCAGGGACGTTCAGTGTTGTTGCATTACCCGCATCAGACTAGTAATTATTTCAGATGCCGTCTTAATTTGGAGGAGCAACCAGAAAAAGCTATGCTTTCTATAATTTAACCATCGTTAATGGCATTAATATCAGCCGTTTTGGCTGGAATAATATGCAGATAAATCCGGATGGTGAACACTGCTGCATCCAATTCCAAGCAAGTGAACAGCACTGCTAGGAGTTTATTTACTGGGGCAGTGCCTTTCCCAAACCATTATCATCAGGGGACATGCTACAACTGCTGGATTTGCAGGAATAAGGGTTCTTCCAAGGAAAGAGCAAGCTTTGACAACAGGACAAAATCCTTCATTTCATAAACTGCTTCTGGATGAGCCTCCTTAATCAGCAAGGGGGCAAAAAAAGTTTTTTGAAATCTTCACATCTTCCTGTGCTGTTTCCAGAAGAGCGAGCTCTTCCGTCGAAGCAAAAGAACGACGACGGCACGGAGAAGCTGGAGCTTCCAAAAGGTACAGAAAGGAAATGGTGGTCTACACAGTGAAGAAGTGGAAGTGGCATGCTCCCCTGCTCCAGCTCCAGGGAACTGCAAAGCAGCTGTCTGTAGTGCTCACCTCCAGCAACCATGTCCCTCTCTAATACACCCTCTCTAAATTCCAATTCAAAATATAAGAACAGGCAAATAGATTTGATTTTAACAAGTAGATCTGTAATTTCTAACTTTTGACAAAAACATTTCTTCAGCAAAGGCAAGCTAAGTATGATTTCTTCCCCTTTCAAATGAAGTCCGCTCTTGGACAGAGCTAGCTTGGGTTTTTTGCTCCTTATACATAATTAAATGAATCATAACAAATAGCAAGAGTTTCTTCAGTCTTGCAGCAGTATTATACAGTTACGTTAAGACAACACAGCAGCAAAAAAATGGATCACTTTACCAGCCACAAAAACTGCACCATTATTGCACTGAATTTCCAGAGCAACACAGAAGTTCTTTGGTGAACTTGGGGGACATGGAAAATGCCTGTATAAGAAAAGATTGAAAAAAGACAAGTAATACCAGAACATGATGGAGAATCACTGTAGCAAAAATGACATGAAAGACAATGACTTCAGTTACACAAAACACAGCTGGAGTATAAACTCAGTATTCACATTAAAAGGTGGAACACCAATAAATGAATAAACATTAAGCAAATCAAGAACACTGCACTGCAAAATGCACTTTTGTCAATCTGTCATCCAGTATTATTGACGTATAACACTCCCAAGCGTGCTAATAAGATGTGCTACACTGTATCTATAGAAATAATGAAATTAAATACTACACGAAAACTAGCTTCAGGAGCTGTTACTGAATCTTTGCTGGAAATCAAGGAAAAGACCTGAAAAGATTTAGTGCAATTTAACAAAGTGAACTATACAGAAAGTATCTACTAATGTCTTCCCACTGTTTGGAATTTTTACCATATTACAATATTTGGTGCTTTCTTAATATCCAGCTCCCAGCATTTTGAAAATATGAGAAAAGCCATTCTCGGGAAGAGAAGTTTGCCTTACAAACTCTAAGGTACAAAATAAGGAAGGCAAATTCCATGATCTGTAAGTCTTCTGTCATTTTGGGATGTAAAGATAGATTTTTGAAGGTATATGATTGGCAATACCGCAACAAACTGTTTTTACTTCTAATCATTCTAAATTCCATACCAACCCACAGACCTATAAGGACACACTGCTGAAAGCACAGAGTGGAACTGCAGTTCTCTGACCCACAATTTTTCTGACCCTGTGATGACCCTGGCATAATAAACCAATGAACCACTTCTACTAAAATTGAAACGACCTTCATTTTCAGCATGTGCAGTTTTCCATCTTCTGTGGCTTAATTCAAGCATTTTAAGATTACGCCTTAAAAGATATGGAATGACATTTTATTATCATCAAAAGTACAGAAAGTGCAACATATTCTATCCAACAAACTAGCAGAATTTAAACAGTTAAAAGTGCTTTTACAGACCTCTTACCACTGCTTAGTCATCTAATATCTTCCTCCCCATCCTAACTCTATACAAAAGCACAATACTAAGAACTGCAGTTTCAGTATGTACTTACTTGCAAAAATCCTCTTCTTTTATCTTCTCCAGGGCTTTTATAACTGCCATTCTAGTGAAAACAGACTGCACAGCGAAATAAAAAATGAGTCAAGAAACTAGAGAAGCTTAGAAAAGATATGCCTAAAGAGAAAACAAAGAAAAACCCAAAACATACACACCATACACTACTCACAATACAGTTTTTTTCAATTGTATTTCACGTTTCCTTATGCCTAAAAGCAACTCTCTATCAGCAAAAGTTCACCATGATCTTAACCCTAACTTTAATAGGATCATACAGAGTAACACGTAATTTTGCCAAAATACTTTTAAGCAACTTTATTCATGACATGAAAGCAATACAACTAGGATCTCTGAAAGACTGCGACATAAAGATGATTCAGTTGTACATTTAAACCAGTACCAAAAACTGGGAGTTGGGATTTGACCAAGTATCTTAGGCTTGGCCCTTGTTTCTAGAAGACATGTATAAACAACATTATCTGTTTTCTCGCTCTTGTTTTTACACAGGGAAAAAAAAAAAAAGTAAGTTCCACTGACTTTCAGCAGGTCAAAATACCCATTTTAGCTCCTTAAAATATTCCGTTGCTAAGTCTGCCCTTGGTTAGCTGAAATAAATGCTAAGTAAATCTCTAGAAACTATCTAACTTTCAGATGATATACAAAAGTATGCAAAAGCAAGAATAAAAAAAAAAAGTAGCACTAAGGATCTCAGGTCAATATATGCAAAAGATATTAAAAAAAAAAGAATCCTAAATCTGTGAACAGAAACCTAAACCAGTATCCCTGTTTTCAAGAGTTAAGCACCTAAATCCCAACTTTTATCTCAGCGTCAGTAGGTAGCTAGTTCTTCTGAAAACAAGACTGTTGAGTAGAAATCCATTAGAACAGGGTTCTAAAGTTCATTCTTGCTTAGAAAGAGTGCTGAATGTTAAAGCATGGCCGTTCCCAGACTGTGTAAGGTAAGTGATTTCAAAGTCCCAAGCAGCATCAATTCACAAAGGTGAGATGCTCCTGCCACTACTACTGTCCTTTCATGCACAGCCAGGTGCTGCTGTTTCCAACGCAGGTGAAGCTAAGGCAGAGACCACAGTGTTGAAGTTCCTAGTATAAGAGAAACAAGAACGGTAACAGGATGAGATGGAGTCCTACTTTAGGAAGGTTGAGGATAGCAGATGAAAACATAGGACTGAAGTCCTTGTTTGGGAAATTAGGACTTGTTGCTCCTGCCACTGTTGGTGTGCAAGGCAATAAAGTTGGGAACCTCGATCGCAGATCGCTAAAAAGCCCTGGAAATTGAGAGCAGAACTTTTGTTTGCACAAGCAAGCAAACTTGATGGGGATAATATATACCCTATTTCACACTGAGAGAAGAAACTGGATGGGCAGGGCCTGTTACGAAATAGTAACGATGATGTCCGAAGAATAAAAAATTGCCTGATGAACAGAACATAGCTCACTTTCCTTAAAGGAAAAAAAACTGAGACAAAGTTGCGGCTAGGCCTGCTGCCAAGACAATGCCATTGCAGGCTGCCAAGTCTTAGGATCATAAGGCTGGAAGGGACCTCAGGTCTCTAGATCAACCTCCTGCTCAAAGAAGGGTCAGCTATGAGATCAAAATAGGTTGCTCAGGGTTTTTCCCAGTTGGTTCTTGAAAACCTTCAAGGATGGAAACTGCACAACTTCTCTGGGTAGCCTACTCTACTGTCTAACTGTCCTCATGGTAAAAAAAATTTCCGAATATCTAGACTGAACCTGTTTCAACTTATGCCCACTGTTTCTCATTCTCCCACAATACATCACTGTGAAGAGTCTTGCTCCTTGTTCTCGATAACCCCCCTACAGGTACTGGGGGCTTCCACTGGGTCCTCCCTGAAGCATTCTTTTCTTCAGGCTGAACAAACCCAGGTCCCTCTGCCTCTTCTCCGAGGGCACGAGCTACAGCCTCCTGACTGTCTTGGTGGTTATCAAATGAACTCCAAGTTACCGATGTCTTTCTTCTATTGATGGTCCAAAACTGGAGGCCATATTCTAGATGTGGTCTCATGACTGCTGAGTAGAAGAGGATAATCTCCTCCCTTGATCTGCTCGCTATGTTCCTGTTAATACGGCCCAGGATGCTGTTGGCCTTCTCTGCTGCCAGGGCACGCTGCTCATATGCTCATCTTGCTGTCTGCTTCCAGGACCCTCAAGGTCTCTTCAGTAGTGCTTCTCCCCAGCCTGGCAGGCTCCAAACTGTGTTGTTGACAGACTTTATTCCTTCCCAGATGCAAGACTTGTATTTGTCACTGCTGAATTGCATATAGTTTCTGTCAGCCCATTTCTTCAACTTGTCCAGGTCCCACGGGATGGCAGCTCTGCCCTTAAGTGCATCTACTAGCTCTCTCTCTTTGGCGTCATCTTCAAACTTGGCAAGAGTGTACTCCACAACCTCCTCCAACCAATTGATAAAGATGTTAAATAGGACAGATTCCAGGATAGAGTCCTGTGGCAATGCACTTCCCGCAGCCATCCAGGTGGAGTACAACTCATTAACCGCTACTCTCTGAGCCCAACCGTCCAGCTCCTTATTACAGCTTCTGCCACAAAATTTCAGAGAAGAGTTGCAACAGCAGTGAGATCCTACCTGCTTGTTCTTCGCTGGTTTGAAACAATCCGGACAGGCTGTGGCTCTAAATATAAAAATGAAAATTAGTTGCTATTCTTAAGGAAAAAAAAAAAAAAAAAAAAGGACTTATAAGCATAGCATGTACTAGATTAATCTTTGCACAGAAATGCCCAACATCTCACTTCTACAGCTTAGAGTGGAACAGGTTTTTAAATGAATTTTATCTTAAATCACAAATGGCAGAAGGTATGTTACTTGATCTAAAGATTTTAAAGGGACCGATAAATTATGAACAAAGCTGTGTAAGCTTCTTTTTCTCTGACCAACACAAATGTGTCAGCTTTGAGATGGGATGGAAAAGCACACAAGAAGTGTAGTTTTCAGTCCTTCTCAATCCTTGTCAATAACGGTGATGACTAATGCTTAGCTCCTCTGCAAGGTATGCTGACATCTTGAAATCTATATTTGTTTTCTTTGGCGATGCACATTGTGAATTAGACATATCCAAATCAGAGATTCGAGTTGCTGCTTCTGGATAGGAATATTCAACTTACTGCAGAAAAAATAAACCAGGTGTTTGATACTATTTGTGCTTTGCCTCTTTAAAACTCTTCAAAGGAAACTATTGGCTGCTTCATGAAAGTGAAAGCCAAATCAGAGAAAAAACTTTTTCTGAGTACTGTAGAGGAAGTTGCTGTTCCTATTAGTGGATTTCTACGTATGCAATTAGACATGATTTCTAGCCTGCAACACAGTTTATCATTTCTTGCTGCTCCTTTTCAACGCCCCTGCAGTTACTTCAGATTGAAAGGAAGCAGGTAACAAATGACCTCTTGGTGTTTCTACACAAGCTAGCCAGGAAAGTTGCTTGTAATACAAAGCATTGCAACTTCCCTCTTGCAGAATTTTAATACAATAGATGGTTGTATAAAGACAGCTTGAGAGATAAGAAATTGCAGATGCCATTTTTGGAAACCCAATCCAAAGGTATACTTGGAGTTGGGAGGACTTCTCCAGGTTGAGATAAGGTCCTACTTTCCTTTCACAACAGAGCTGTCATTATTTAAGCTCCGACAATCAGCAAATTTACCACACTGATATCAAAACCAAACTAATGTCCCATAACACGTGCAGAGCCAGCCATTCACATATGGACCATGCCCTGATACCTGAGAAACCACCATGCAATGAAATTACACGTTTTTCTGAAGATACAGCATATTGCCTAAAACCTTAATCACTGTTTAAGCATCCTATAAAGAGAAGGCAAATAAGAGAGATTTTGTCAAGTCACGTAGAATAGACCCGAGTATTTGGAACATGGAAGTGAAGAGACAGAACTTCTTCACAGCTTTCACCCCTCCAGGTACTGCTCTTGACTGACATTAGCATCCTGTTGATGCAAAGCATCAACATTTTCGACAGGTCACAAAAAGCAGCAAAGAACTGGAAGGAAAAGCTGGAAATAAGAGTTGCTAGGTTTCAAAGGAAGTGCTCTATAAGAAACAAGAATTGATCAACTAAAATTAAGTAGGAATAAAAAGATGTAGGATCTGGAGTCCTGAGTTTTTAACTGGACTACAGCTCTCAGCATTTAGAATTGCAGTTTCGCCCTGCTGCTTTCTCTCCCCTTTTTCCCAGTCTCGAAAAAGCCGGAAAGGAAAAAAAATGCTGGCAATCCATTCTTCCTAATATCAGATCCATCACATAGCAGGCTCCCCCCTCCACCCCCCCATCAAGACATATGAAGAAGGTAGTTGTTGGAAAGCAAGAAGGTGGCAGATCGGGCATTTAAGCAGAGGTGGCAAACTGCCAGAAGGGGTAAAAGCAGAAATATCTAGAAAGGCTGCAAAGGTAATTTATAGTCTCAAGGGATGAAGTCACTATGCAGCATACAGGTCAGAGGAATCCTCTGGGAAGCCTCTTTCTATGACAGGATTTAACATGTAGCAGGAGCACAAGTGATGAAACTGAGCGTGAAACTCTATTTTTCCAGGAAGCATCAGCAAACAGGAAGAGGGTACCTAATTATCCAGAATATACTACTACTAGATTTTGAGAAATCAGATTAAATGGTAGCTAAATTCCCAGAAATATTTTGCTTCTTTGTGTTAAAGAAAGATTTATATAGCAGACGCTCTACTGGGCCAGGTCAAAAACAATTGTGTAGTGGCCAGGGACCTTTTTTTCTTTTTTAATGGACCAGCTAAGTTAGATAAATTCACTTCTGTGCCTTCCCTCCCATCTAAGTCTCCTACAAGAACAGAAAAAGCTAGGCAACACCTAAAAATATTTGTTTCTGTCAAGTATGTGATTTAAATTTATTTTTTAGAACGATGCAACTATATTGATGAGGGTATTGACTTTGAAAATGGCTGAAATTGAACAACTTATCAGAATGCTCTCTTTCTAGCCCAAATGAAAATTCTAGGTGACTTTGGAGCTTACTGGCTTTCAAGCACAGAATTAACCAGATAAAGATGTCACAATTTTAAGCTTTGTAGCTCCGTATGGCTATGAGGAAGTTCAGATTCAGGTCCAGTTCTAGTTTATAAACACTGTAAATTCTCATTTGTAGCAAATCCAAACTAACAATGTTGCACAATATTTAGATAAAGATCTTTGTTATTTATATCAAAACTTACAGGAAATGGCACTCCTCATCTGTTTCTGGGTGAGCAAAGACCACGCTAACTTCAAACAAACTCTAAATTAAAAAAGGAAGGTAATAGTTTGTTAAATAAGCATAGAGAGGATACTTTCAAGCATCCTTATTGAAATATCAGGAAAACAGTAAAGAAGTAGACCAAAGAGAAAGTAACCCACTTATGCTGCAATATCATCTAAAGAAAAAAGATATTAAATCTTGCACCATAATAGCATTAGCATTTCTGTAGTACCCAAAGATCTCAGAGCACTTTAAAAACATGAGTGACCTACACATCATAGATACCGGCCCCATTTTGCACAGGGGGAACTGAGTCAGAGACAGTATTTGCTCAAAGCCTATTACGGTCACTAAACTTAACAAACCTTCTGGGAGAGCAAGGCATAGCGTGAATAAAGATAAAAAACTGTAGTAGTCACCACCGTAAAATTTTGTCAGGGGGCTTCGTTTGCAATGATTGGATGGCCTTGGGGCAAAGAAAGGCAACATGTCCTAGCCGACTGACAGCTAGACCAGAAACTCTAGTGTAATCTCAATTCTGCCCCCAATTCCCTCTTTGGCCTTAGGCAAACAACACTCATTACTTCTGTTATTCAGATACCAGTATACCTCAAGAGGGCTATTGAGAAGACTGGGTAATATTCAAGTGCCTTGTAGATAAAGAGCACTAGACAAGTATCTTTTATTGTACAATAATGTCTGGAGTTGCTCAGTGCCTAAGCGTGTAGAGCTTTTGCTAACTCAATATGTATGAAGTTTGTTTCTTCTTGGATCCTCTTCAGGATAACCGGGCAACTCCCTTTTTACTAAGACAAAAGGGATGCTTTCAATCAGCACCCCTCGGAAAAGACAATCTGTAATTGTTAGGGAAGTTGACAATCAAGGTAAAGACTTAGTGGGTCTAGAACTGGGGTCGCTCCTAGGGTCTGATGACAAGTAAAAGCTGTCGACATTTAGGAATGTTAATCGGAATCTGAAAGTTGAAAACAGGGTCTGAAAAAAACACTCCTGCTACCTGTTTACTGGTATCACAGCTTCCAACGTGCCTATTTCTAGCAGTCATTAAAGTGAAGAAGGACCGGTCCTTCCTGCTTTAGTGCGTTTCACAAATAGATTCTGTTCATAGAATATATAACATGATAACCTGAACAATTTATCTCACAAAGCAGTAACAGTGTTGGCAGAAACAGGAAAGCCTGAGCACTCCTTAGCCTCTGGAAAACATAGATTCTAGAAAATGAGAAAACTGAGAAAGTCTCCTTGACAAAAGGAGGGTGACTGCCCAAGAACAAGAGATGTAGTACAAGACTGCAGTGGCTTCAGTCATTGCAATGGGGGTCTGTCTATAAAAAGGGATATTGGATCCTTTAGTACTGAGACTGGGAGAGCTCAAGCTAAAAGAATTTTCCCTACTTCCCCCAACAGTGAAGATAAGATGAGCGCAACTTATTATCTCTTACTGAGAATGTACCACCCTCAGTACGAGAGAGACAGAGAGAGACACACACAGAGAAACAGACAGAGAGAGGGAGACAGAGAGACAGAAGGAGACAGAGAGAGACACAGACAGAGGGAGAGACAGAGGGAGAGACAGAGGGAGGGAAAATTTTCATTATTTATAGAACACTTT